TCCCTTTCCTAATCGAGTACTAATATATATTACTTGTTGCTTTATATTGGTGCTAAGGTAAAAATATTTTAATCGATCCTTATGTCATCTAATAACTTTACTAAGAGCTCTAATCTCTATAAAAATATTTCTTAACTTCAGATCAAGAGCTTCGTATGACCATCTTATTTGGGGTAACCTCAGATCCATTTGTTGCTGTAAATAAATATATTATAACTAAAAAGTTTTTTAAGTTGTATGAGGTGGCTAACCTTAAAACTAAGTTTGTTTTTCAAATCCTAACAAAACCCACACTAAAACTCCTCGAATGTTGGTTATAAAACTTGAAAGTACACCTAAACTCCTTTATGGTAAGTGAAAAAGGAAAATGATGGTTGTTCTTTCAACTCCTTAGTGATAATATCTCTCACCCAAATACTTTTAGTATAAAAGATTAAAAAAAAAAACAGATGAAGGGAATAAGCAAAACAGTAGCAGTTTAGATTTTCTAAAAAGTGATAGTATGTGCAATGGCAAGCCTTTTATATGCTTGTATGCAATAAATGATGACATTTTATCTCTAATCGTATATTTCAATAGCTTAACAAGTGAAAAGATCATATTTGTTAGTTAAAAATATCAAAATTCAAATGTTATAATCTTTTTATCTCCTTACTATATGCCCACTCAATGACTTTTAGAATTCTCCTAAGTGATTGTATCATGATGATTCAAGATATGAAAATTATTTACATTTAAGATTAGCTCAAATACAAATTTAAGTCTTTGTGTTGTCCCAAACATAAAAACTTAGGGGATATTGATGGATATAGGATTTATGCCCATAGTTTTGAGCCTAAAAGCATAAGTTTTGAGATACACCCAGACTTAAAGATAAAAGATATGAGGTATAACTCGAGCTCAGAACTTTATGGACTAAAATGAGTACCAAGGATCCTCAAGCTTGAGCACGATACAACTCTCACCTAAGTTTAGTCACATTATATGGTATATCAGAACACTACACCTAAAAAAGATAGTATGTTTATAAAAAGCTCTATATATGTATAACATGACTTTTAATATATCTAACTGGCCCAAAAACCCTATTACTATATAATGAGTTAAAGGTCTTCTCATGGCCCATAAGGTCATACACATAAGCATACATTTTCTAAACCAAAGTGCATTCATTTACTTTTAGAGCTCCTATATCATTTTATCACAACTAGACCTATTCAAGTAGTATTTATCTTAATGGACTTATTTTAAGCTTAGTTAATGGCCATGTGGTAAAATCTTTACTTTTCAAATAGAACATAACCACTCATAAGAAGGTATATACCAAAATGATTGTTATCTATCTATATACAACAATTTTTTTCTTATTTTTTCTTTATCACCATAAAAGTGGATGTGGTTCATGAAAATAGATAAATGTTTATAAACCACAAAATACATATGAACATTACCTTTGAATATTTTGGTATTCACATTTTCATCTTTTTCATAAGTATTAAATACACAATAGATTTTAAAAAGATGATTTGTTTTCTTATTATGTTTTAATAATTGAAGTATAAAAGAGTAAATAACATAAAGATATTATTTTGTAAGTGTTTATGAGCTTTTAGTAATATTCTTTTTCTTTAACTATACAATCCAATTAGTTATCATTGAAAACCCTTTGCTTCAAACCTTCTCAATAGTAAAACTTAGTTCAAGTACTACCTATTTGACCTATATTCTTTTGTGGATTAGATAATTTGTTTTTTTAATAAAAAATAAATAAATATATAAGCTTTTTCAATACATTTCAATATATTTTTTGATATAAAAAAAATGTTAAGCGTAAATTAAAAGGCATACACATGAATTTAATTAAATAAATAGAGAACCATTTATGTAAATAAATGCAAAAAAAATAAAATTGAAGGCCATCAATGATAACTCAAGACTAGATTGGAAAAATCAAGAGATAAATGTAAATTAAGATATTTGATCTCGTAACATGAGTCATTTTATTACCTGGTTGTGATTAATAACTTTGTCTATTATAATTATTTTTTTATTTAATAAAATGATAATAGAAATGACATACATATGAAATCATTGAAATAAAATCAAAGCGAAAAAATATCATGCAAGGTTACACATATTAGGGTGCAAAAAAACAGCTATCATTTTATGTAAAAAAAAAACTATATTTAACCAAAGAATAAATTAAAAAATTGAGAGATAGATGTGAAAGTCGATATTTGATCTTAAAATACAGGATATAAACTCGATTGTTTTTAATAATGTTTTTTTATGGGAACCAATGTTTTATTTAATAAGACAATAATAACAAAACACGTATAGGAAAGTGATGTAAGAAAATTAAAGAGAAAAACATAATTATGTAGGGATACATAGAAAAAATACCTCTTTAGATCAGAAAAAAAAATATATTCTAAAAGTGTACTTGTAAACCAAATAAAATTTAAATCATATTTCACTAAAAAATCATGAGAAATTGTACCAAAAAAAATCAATAAAAACCCAACACTAAATAATGGAATTGAAAGGAAAAAAAAAGACAAAAAAAACTACCGAATAAAAAAAGGTTTGGGCAAATGGGCTTGATAAAAAAAAATCAATAAAAACTCAACACTAAATAATGGAATTGAAAGAAAAAAAAAAGACAAAAAAAACTACCGGATAAAAAAAGGTTTGGGCAAATGGGCTTGTCATGGGTGGCCTAGCACATCCGAGTTTAAAAAAAACTTAGATGTATAGGCCTTTTAGCCCAAGCCCGCATGCTTAGATGCCTTTTTTTTTTTCAAGTGGGAGATTGCTCTTTATTTTTTTAATGAAAAAATAAATAAGCGAACAATCTAGTTTCATGCAACTAAAAAGTCTCTTCAACCTCTTTTGACCCACAGTACATATAAAACACTTTATACATTTTGATGAACATATCCATAACATCATATAACTCAGAAATTGATCTAAAAACTCAAACTCAACTCAAAATAATAAATCTTTTTTAGTTCAGTTCTATCATCTCAAACAAGGTCAAAGAAAAAGAACATCTAGGCTAAACTTCTCTCATCAAATAAAATTTATTGACATCAAGATTATCTATTTTGTGGCTAACATCGGTATCAATCAAGACTTTCTCTCTCTAGTACCGATCGAAATCCAATCACTTTCTCTCTACTCTCTCAAATCATGGACTCAAAGATGAAGGAAATAAAATTTTGAACTAAAATTCAAATTTTAAAATATTGAGGCACTGAAAATTTACCATGTGAAAAGTAAGAGGACAAAAGTGAACTTTTTATCCATTTTTTGAAATGGCCACCCGATTTCTCTTTTTTTCAAAATTTAGTCCTTATTTTTTCAATTATGACCCTCTTTAATATTTCTTAATAAATTGGCAATTAATTTGGATGTAAGATGATTCAATTGATGATAAATAAAGTTTGAAGACTAAATTATATAAAAGAAATCACAGTGGATTGCTGCCGTGAAAAAACCCATGTGTTTTAGTTTTTTTCTGATAAATAAAAGACTTTTAAAACCATAGTGTAGAGTACTATATTTATGAGTTTGTAATTGAAGAGATTTTAACGAAATAAATTAAAATTTAATTAACAAAGCTTGAGGATTTGGTTCAAATAAGTAAAATAAATCAGTTACAAAATTACCGTTTAATATAAAAGGAAATTGGGTGTTTTTTGGATGAAAGATTTAAAAGGGTTTTTTTCATAGTTATGTTCCATCAAATGAAACTCTATATAATCTCATAAGATTTTATAAGTGGTTATAATTTTTTATATTTCAAGTATTATTTAAGAATATAGAAATGTTTCAATGGATTGTGTTTATAGATATCTCTATAGAGAATTTACCTCAATTCATGTAAATAAATATTGATTAAAATTTAGTTTTTTATATTTTAAAATTGTTTTGATTTGTCATATCAAAAATAAAAATATATATATATCATTTTAATACATTTTTAAATTAAAAAAACATTTCCAAAAATAACAGCTAGTATTATATTCCTAAGCAACCAATATTTTCGTGCATTCACCTATAAAACGAAAAAAGAGTTAATCTAAATTATCGAGAAAAACAAATAAAGAATGTCTTTGCCCTCACAAAATCAATGGCATCCGTTCTTGGGCGGAAATGGGTGGGGGAGGTGGCCCGGCATGGAGGGTAAATGAGAAGAGATGGGAGGAGCTCAGGACCACCATCACTTCACGTGGAAAGCTATTACTTTGTGCTTGGACTAAATCGATCCCCAGAACCCATACCCATAATACACATTGCATTAAATATGTTCGATATTGAAGCTTTCGTAGTGCTTTTGTTCGGTCCAATTGTCCATTTGATGCGGGCACTGCCTTATTTGGTTTTCCCGTGCCCAAAAAAGCTATAAATTGTACACCTCTAACGATAACAACTTAAAACACCATGTTAATGTTTATTTTTGTGCCTTTAAATTATTATTTTTTAATTAAAAAATATTAAGTTGATATTTTTTAAGTATTTTTAATTAGTTTTGATATAATAATATTAAAAATAAATAATAATAAAATAGTTTTTAAAAATACTTTAGGCTATATTAACAAACACTCAATAAATAAGCCACGACAAGAACAACAATACACAGCAATACAAATCATCGACAATAATTCGAACAACATTATGTAAACTCTTGCATGTGCATTTATGTATAATTTTTGCCGATTTGTCTTGTTCTTTCTTTTCGAGAATAAGTCTTTGGCTGAGCAGAGAGCGAAATAATATAATCATCAAAAAAAATTTCGTTCTAAAAAAATGTAATAATATTTATTTTTTAAAATATATTTTATTTGAAAATATATTAAATTAATATTTTTTTAAGATTTATTTGAATTAAGTAAAAAAATTTAAATTTTTTTATAAATATATTTAAAACATAAAAATACAAATAAAAATAAAAATAAACAAGCTGAGATTTTATTTTTTAATCGAAGATGACTTAATTGTGGTATCAAAATTTAAAATGGCATATATTGACAAACAGAATAATTACACTTTGCCACATGATAATGTCATCCAAAAACAATAGAAAAAGCAAAAAACATACTCTACTGTGCAAAATTAAAAGCCGAAACCACCCCTCCTCTCATGGCCCCCCCCTCGTGAGCAAAATCACATGTCTAAGCCAAATCAAAAGGCTAATGTTGCCACGTTCAAGTGCATCTTACCACTTAATCCTCTCCATGGTCACGCGCATCCCTACTTCCAAACACCGCCGGCCACTCCCCACACCATTCACCTCCTATTCCCCCTTCTAAAGATCCCCTTCCACCCCTAAAAGGAGTTTTTTTGGAAAAGAATATCTCATTTTCTTTTCCCTGTATTTCGGAAGATATATCATAATTATCGCAGCTTTTTTTTTTTTTTGTGGTCATGGGGTGGAAAACAAAGGGAATTGTGATGAGGTGTTATGAGAAATAGTCTAGAGTTTTCATCCCTTCAGTTGATTTTTTATTTTCCTTTTCCTCTTTAGCCTATTAGACTTCATGGGCATTATCTTGGGAGCTAAGAGGGAAACACGTGTCCTCTCCACCAGTGTTCCAAAGAAAATGAGCATAGTTAGCAGCGTAATAAGAGTTTGTAGGGTCAGCAGAAATGGCTTCCAAGAAAGTCTCCTCAGCTGCCCACAAATCCTTTCTCACGTGCCATAGAAAGCTTGCGTACTTGCTATATGCCTCTGCGTCCGGTGGCTCCGCCCCTATTGCTCGCTTAAAGTATTCCTCTGCCCTGTTAATTTACACATGAAGAAAAGGGTTAGTTATCAGGCAACCAATTTGCTGGCTTAATAGTGTTAAAGCTATAGCTTTAGCAAAAGATCACGCCCAGAAATATTATATAAATAAACAACAAGTGATGGTCAACAGGCTAAGCTAGACGCAAGTGGAAGATCTTTGTGGCAAAGCGCGTAAAGGGTCACGCGCAGAAGATGATATTTGCCATGAAGGGAAAACTACAACCACACATTCACTTGTCAGGATTCAGAAAGGGAATCGAACAGAAAAATATACAAGACGACATGTCAAATTTAAAGCAGCGTCCTAGATATGGAAAATGTTGGAGAATAAACCTAGGAGATATTCCGACTCCGTGTTTGACACCCTAACATGAATTTATGGACTCAAAAACTTGATCAGTGCCCAACTTGCTAAAATATCATGATACTTGACAAATTGGCTTCTGAGAAAGTCTCCATTGACAATAATGGAGTTACAGTTTGCAATGGAAGGAACTAAGATATGGAAGGCAAAGATGGCTTAAGCTTTTACCTGTCGTAATCGTGGACGACCATGTTGAGGAATTGAGCGTAATTGGCAAGGAGGAGAGGATTGTTAGGGTCTTGAGACAATCCCATTTGATATTGTAAATCTGTTCTAAAATACTCTGCATAATCATCCGCCTCGATCTTGGCGTTAATAGGTGAAACAAATCTCTGAATGGTCTCATGATCAAGGGATTCATCGCGCAATGGAAAATATTGCATTTTAGAAGCCTCCTCTACGATTGAATTCCATAGACTCAACTCCTCTTCTCTACTCCCTTGCTCTGATGCTGACTCGGCCTCCCTTGATGTCCCTAAAGATGACAATTGAGATGCCCCGTCAGGGACAATTGTTCTAATTTGGTTCGACTGGTCGAACCATCCATCGCCTTCAGTGCCACTGGCGAGCGGCCGGACCTTTCCGCCACCGCCATTATTGCCCCCAATTGAAGTTGTTTTGCCGCTTGAAGATGATACCGAAAACATTTTTACTGATGAAGAATCAAACTTTTGATTCTTTTGGTCTGGGGTTTCAACGACAGATACACTCTCTGTTGTAGCTGCATAAGACCCTGAATTTGGTGGAGCTGCAAGTGCAGCGTTAGTGGCCATGGAATGTACAGTAAAGTTTGCAAGGAGAATCATCACATACATCATAAGAGTAGGTGTATGTGAAAACGCTTGCTGAAACAACCAAACGAAAGAAGCATGCATTTCTTTCTGTACACGAGCAAGAATCCCTTGCAAATCTTCAGTGAAAAGAAACTCTCTCATTTGCAAACTATAAGCGTGAAGTTCTCGAATTATGAACACCATGGAAGAAAACGCCTTCTTCACCGAACAATAAGCAGATTCCCCTGCTTCTCTAAGCCCTTCTTGCCATTGCATCTTTCTCTTTATCATTCGAAGCGAAAGTGGAAGGTCGACGCTATTCGCCTTCCGTTCAATACTTGCTGGAATTATATCATCTCTTCCTGACCAATCTGGTGGCTCTTGCTGGATTTCTGGCCATGGAGGCTCCATTGAATCCAGAGGAAACTGCCTTTGGTCCTGCACTAAATTTGACGAATCTTCACGGATAAAGTTACTATAAATGTCCCCGCCATTAATACTGCCAAGGTTGTCTCCAGAATCAGAAAGAATCTCTGATTCGGAATCCACTGCGTCACTGCCATCGTCATCGTCGTCGGAAAGCTGGAATTTGAGAGCCAATTCTTGAATTTTCTTGGAAAATTCTTCATCAGAAAAGGCATCCGAGCTAGCACTGCTAGCTCTTTTTATAGTCTGACCTCTTGATTTCGGAAACTCGTAAGAACGAGCCCTCTGTATCTTTGTTGTTAATGGAGTTCCAAACAGAGTCCGTCGGTCTAGTCTCTGTAAGCATCTGCACAGGAGCACACAACCTCCAGTTCCATCGAAACGACGCTGTCGTTTAGACGATGGAGATGAAATTGCAGAGGCTAGAGATTGAGAGGAAGACGGTGAATGATGAGTAATTGGCTGCGACCATTGAAAACAGGTCGTTGTAGCAACTTTCACTCCCATTTTTTCTTCTTTTTTGTCCGAGAAAAGCTAAAAAGAAGCTTATAAAAACAGAATCAAATTCCCTTAGATCTGCTGCAGCTGGTTAAAGACTTTGCTTTCTTTTTCTCTCCTTTTAATTCACACGAGCCTGGAAAATAAACAACAACTATAAAATAAGCCAATATATCGAGAAAAAAAACTTTGAATCCCGGTAAACAATCATTACTTTCCATGAAAATCGGATCGGAAAAGGAATTCCTAAACGCAGTTAACGGCACGAAAAACAATGGGGAAAAAGGCAGTGAGATCCAAGAAATGATGCAAAGTTCAAGAGAGACTTTTGCAGGAACTTACGTTAGATTTGATGAACAGTTTTTCGATTGGAAATCCTAAGATGGAATCCGGCGAGAAACTGAGAAGCGAAGTACAAACCGTATTTCACTTATCAAGAAGAGTGAGGAAAGGCTATCTCTTTCTCTTATATATAAACCCCACTGAGACACCCACGCACGAGGCGAGCTAGCTTTCGTCTTTTTTTTTTCCTTTTTTTTTTTTTATTATTATTAAAAAAATCTCCCAGACGGTAGCCAGTTTTGTTAGAAGCCAGATGCAGCTGTGGTTGTTGAGGACTGTTGCGTATATTGTTTTTTTTTAATAGTTTTTTTTTTTAATATTAAAAAATATATTTAATAGTTTTTATTTTAAAATATTAAAAAATATTTTTTTTAATATAAAAACAACAAAATCTTGAGAATATACTATAAAAAAATTAGTTTGAAGTCTTCCAGCTAAAAATATTTTTATAAAATATCTAAAAATAAAATTTAATATGTATCAAATACCTAATATGTTATTTGTTCAAAAGTGTATTTGACTTTAAAAAATAAATTGATTTTTTACTATTTTATAATGGTTGCGATGTGTTAATATTATAAATAAATAAAATTTAAAAAAAAATACTAAATAATACTTAAAAAAAAAGTTACACTACTGTATAAAAAACATATTAAGTGACTTTTTATGATCTGTCAATTTAGATGTGGTTTTGATTTTTAATTATGTTTGTGGTTTTTAAATGTTTAATAACATTTTAAAATATAATAACATAACCATTTCATATGTTATTTTTAGAATCTATTCATACCTAAAAGCTATTGCTTTTTAAAAATATTTGTTTAGTATTGTGTTTTCACTTGTATTTTAATGCATTTTAAAAGTATATTTATCTTAAAAAAACATTAAATTGATGTTTTTTAATATTTTTTGATAATTTTCAAGTGATAATATAAAATTAAAAAAAATAATTTTTATTTACATCCAAATAAAAAGCATTTTGCACCACAATATCAAATAAAAAAATATTTGAGATTATAATAAAGATACTTTTCAAAATATTTTTCACTTAAAAATACTTCAAAATAATATTTTTTTAAAATTATTTTTTATATTAGCATATTAAAATGATAAAAAAAATATTAAAAAATAATTTTAAGTAAAATAAATTTAAATTTTCATGCGCAATTCCAGCTGTTGCCTTTACAATTTTAAAGTGCTGATATAAAAAAAATATAAAATATATTTTAATTTATTTTCAAATAAAAATATTTTTTTATGAATTATGCACTAAATTAATAAAAAAAAAAACTGTGGGTAAGCAAGGTAATGCGGGTAACCAGTCATTTTATTACTTAATGGGTGTTTTTGTTTCTGTTAATGTTTGTTTTAACTTGGATCCGGGTCAGCTGCCACCATGTTAGGTAAGTAAGACGAGGAACCTGATTTTCGAGTTCTGAGCGGCCCGTTTCACGGATGATTTGGATCTCATCTTTGCCGTTCTTAAATTGCGCCACGTGTTCACACCGACCTCTACAGTTTTAAGATCGCGAGTTCACCGGCATGTTTAAGAGGAGGGTGGTAAACATTATTTTTTAATTGAAAATAAATTAAATAATATTTTTTATTTTTTAAATTAGTGTATAAAAAACTAAAAAATATTAATTTAAATATCTTATAAAAAATAATTTTAAAAAATTAAAAATTACGGCAAGACCGTGAGCTCGCCGACCCTACAGTTTGCTCATTTGACAACGTGTCAGTTTCTCTCTCCTCTCTCTCTCTCTCTCTCGTTGCTGTCTGGAAAATTAATAAATGTAGTTAAAGCACCTAGAAAATAAATAAAGCAAAATTAATTAATGTTAATGGTGACTGAGAATGGAGAGCGAGACAGGAAACTGTACCGACGAAGGGGAATGATGTAATTTTCCACTGTAGTCTTACGTCAAGGAAAGGGGTCATCAACTGGCTAACCTTTTTATCGAAAAGTAAAAGTCACCCCTACCCTTCTTTTTTTCTTCCGGTATTTCTCAAAAATTATTTAATTCACTTTTCTGCAAAATTGTCTTTGTAAAGGAGAAACTTTGCGTTTTATTTAACAAAAGAGATTTTAAAAAATTACATTTATTTGAATTACACATTACCTCTATAGCTTCAAAAATTACACTTTAAATCTTGTAATTTGATATATAAAAAACATTTTATCTTTATAATTTGAAAAATTATATTTTTTTTTGTTCATTTGGTCTATATCTTAATAACACTCTGCTTTTATAATTTGAAAAATCACATTTTGCAAACAATTTGATATTTAAATAACACTTTATATCCTTTAAAAAAATTAACAAAAATTATTTAAATATTTATAAAATTGTCGTTATTTTTTTAAAAAATAATTAAAGAGACCCTAAAATAAAATATAACTAGAAATTAATGTTGTAAGTGGACAATGTAATGAAAGTTTTGCATACTGAAAAAAAAAGAAAGAAAAGTAAAATATAACTAGAAATTAATGTTGTAAGTGGACAATGTAATGAAAGTTTTGCATAGTGAAAAAAAAAAAAAGAAAAGAAAACAGGAGAGATGATTTCGTGAGGATGGACTATTTTTTGCAAATGAGATTGGCTGGTAATTAAAAAAAAAATGACTTCTGTTTTTTTTTTGAATAATAAAAAAATTTGTTGAAATTTTTTTAATTTTTCACATGAATATGTAAAGACATAAATTTGATACTTAAAAAAAAAAACAATTTAACAAACATTTAAAAAAACAGGTTGAGTTCTTTCTCAATTATGCAACCCGCACTTGCTAATGTTCAGGCAGCATCGCTCACAGCATTCACTGCCACATTATTGATTCCTTCTTATTGTATTATAGTTTTGAAACTCAACCGTTTGAGAGGTTTATTAAAATTCAATCAATCTAGATTTTTTTTTAAAATAAAATAAGATAAAATTTAGAGATAATTTAACAAGACCTAATTAAAAATCTGATTACAATTGTTAAATTTTATTTTTTATTAAAATAATATTATTTTAATTGTTTTTTAAAAATAACATAGATAACATAGTTAAAACCCAAAACTCAAACTATGAACCAGATCAATTATCGTAGCAAGTTAAAAACAATGCATCAATTACTCTATAACTCTTTAGATGTTAAAAAATTACACAATCACAACTTGTTTTTAAAGACATATTATGCATTGGAATCTTTTCCACTTTCATTCGATATAGAAATTCCGGTTCAACATTTTATATCCTATAATTACCGTTCTTTTTGCTTCAAATTATTTGTTCATCTTCTCCTCGGGAGTATACATGTACATACATTTGAGCATGCATGTGCTCTCCTGTTTCACGATATGATAGAGGTCAACAGTCAACTTCTTTTTTGAGATCATGATAGCTGTGGTCCAGTTTTTTTTTTAATATTATTACTGTAAAGCAATGTTTGCCGTGATGGCTGAATTATTATTTTAATTATTTTGATATATTGATATTAAAAATAATTTTAAAAAAAAAATATTATTTTAATAGATTTAACGTGATGGCTGAATTATTATTTTAATTATTATTTTTAATTCTTTTGATATATTATTTTAATTGTTTTTTTTAAAAAAAAAATATTATTTTAATAGATTTAAAAAAAATCATTTTATTAAATAACTATTATCACTAATTAAAACTTCTCTAAATGGCGAGCAATTAAATTGCAAAAACACTTATGATTCTATGACAAATGCAGTACATCTCATATTTAATTTCATAAAGAATAAAATACACTTAATGATTACTAAACAAAACAAAATAATCCTCTTAAATTGTTTCCAAAATCACACGAGCTGCGTATTTTTGCGCCTCGGACAATGGATCGATTGAGTCCGTAGACTCGACTCTTCATATTTTCTCGAAATGTTGAAAATTCCAAAATTGAAGGAAAAATACTTTTCTGGGAAAATGTTTTTCAAGTAGAAAATGAATATTCACTGAATCTTCCTCTGAAGGTTTAGCCTCGATATTGGTCTAAATTGGCTTATTGATTTTATTCTGTATCGAGATAATTACAAAAATTCCATTCTCGGTGACAATAAATTGGAGCAGACCATACTTGTTCAATTAACCTGAGATAACACTTGAACAAGTGCTGATTCATACTCTTCAATTGAAAGGTAAAATTCTACACTCCTCGACAGCAAAAACATCTCCTTTTTTTTATATGTAATTATGACCATTTATACCTCATTATATCACTTCTGCTCTGGCAAAAACCGATGCAAAGAAATAAAAAAGCACCTGTGGGGATGCTTAAAGATCAGATATCGTGTTCCATGTGATGCTTTAAGCACCCGTGGGGATGCTTAAAAGCATCACATGGAACACGATATCTTCTTTCAATTTTATTTTTTATTTTTTAAAAAAAAAACTCCCGTCCAGTCATCTCACGTGGTAACCTTTTTAATGTCGATTATTTATTTAATTATGGGATGATGTTGCTCTAATTATTTTGCTAATTGTTAATCTCAATCCATTTTTGATATAAAAAAATCATGTATATCTTTGTCTTCAACGCATCGCTCGGCAATATATAATTTTGAATAATTAGATTTTATTCAAGTATTTTATTATTTTTGAATTCCAAGTTAAATCAAATTAATAAATTAATTGTTAATAATATACAAAAAAAATCAAGATAAATTATTCTTTCTTGAATACTACCAACACAACCAAGATACTTTAACAAAAAAAAAATGCAGTATGACAATTATTTTAACAAATTAAATTTAGTGATAGGAAATGAGAAAGGTTAAATCTGTACAGTAAAGGACTTTTTTTTAATGCCAACGTTTTTTCTGTATCATTATTTCTCAAAAATATGAATTAAGGATATTTTGGTATGGCTAGCAAACTAACCAATGGGAATTGACATTGTTTCTAGTAATTCTTATCCAAATTGTCACAAAAAACTAAATATCCGAGCATATAATGTTTAGTTTTATACTCATGCAAAATTATAGGTTCATTATAAACTTGTAATCATAATATAAGATTAATATACATATAAAACGAACATTAAATCATATATAAGATATTGAAATTAAATCCGAATATTTATACTAAAGCATACATTGTAATGATAC